TTCATCTCCCATTCTTCTTTTTATGTCAGATTATTTTGTTTCAAAGATCTTTAAGAAATATATAACTTCACATTTACGGGGAAATTGCGACAACGCAAGTTACTGAAAAAGATCGTCAAAGTAAACGTTAAGGAAAGCAAGTTTATAAACTTAATAAATCGTCAAAGTAAACGTTTACGATAGGAAGTTTATAAACTTGGCAAGTTTAACTTGCTATCATTATTTTGTGAAAAGAACATTCAGAAAAAAACAATAGGAAAAAATAAAAAAGCGATCAATAAGAAAAAAAAAACAATGACAATAAATTAAATTAGAGAAATATAAAAAAGAACAAAAAGAAAAGAAAACTCACGAAATGTTTGATTGGAAAAGATGTAAACAATGAAGAGTAATGGTTTTGTCCAGTTTGTCATAGGAAATGGTGCAATAATACCCAAACGACTGGATAGCTTGTTGTGTATGTACTGTTTGGGTACAGGAAGACTGTACATTAAACTATGTTTGGTTTTTAAGTGTAAAGATTTTATTCAAATTCATTGACTAACATGAAACTTTGCATATGCATTTTTTAATTGATATTATTTTTGATTTTTGTTTTTTGTTATTTTATATTTTTGACTATTATTTTTTTCTACCATGTTTTTTGACTTAAAAGGAAAAATTACATTATAAAATGATACCTTTGTGTTTTTATTTGCGTTCTTATATTTAATCAGATCGAATTTAGAAATGTCTGCTTTAATTTTTATTAAAAATTATATTTTTACTTAGTTTTTTCTTCAAATAAAATCTGTTTCACTTTGCCCCAGGTTTTAGGGAAAGTGAGACAGGGTAGTTGTTGCCATTTTGAGTTTAATTATGTACCAATGCAACAACCTATCACCACAAATATTTAAGAGGTCGTTAAACACATAATGTGCTAGTGTCCTGCAAAATTTCTTGATGTGAAACGTGATACTTTTCAAGTTATGATCAATCTCCCTGAAAGTGTCTCGCTTTGCCCCGGGTTACCCTAAGTCTTTTTTTAGTTTTCCGTTTGAGATAATAGTTCATCGTAATCACTAAGTATTATCTCAAAGTTTGATAAAATCAAGCTTTGAGATAATAACTCATTGTAAATCACTCTACAATCCTCGTTTGTTAGTTCACGCGTATCTCTTTAATTAATTTTAAAATATTCAAAACACATTTGAAATCTTTTTAAACCAGAATGTTTTTCTAAGTTTATTGCAATTGCAGTAAAAGCAATAAGAACGCTAGCAATTAAGCTCCTAACTTTATTCGTTACAGATTTAAAAACAATAAATTCATCTATTAAGCATGAAGTCTTAAAACTAAATGGTTTTAACCACTATTAAATAATTTAATACAAAATAAAAATTTGTCAAAAGCTATTACTATATATAATTTCTTTCTACTAAAAATGTTACATTGTTATTAAATTTTTAAGTTTATAACTCATTTTCAACAAATCGGGACTGTTTTTCGAAACAAAATATTTCATAAAAAACATCCTTTTTTAAAATTAATGGTGTGGTGGTAAAAGATAATATTATTTCCATGAATTGTTCATAATATTATAGAAAAAAAAATAAATGTTATATTAAAAATGTTTTTAATTAAAAACAAAAAATTCTTTACGTTGAATGCAAATCGGAACAGCATTTTGGAACAGAGGGAGTATTTTATTTAAAACTTTTTATATTATGTAAAGTGTTAAAATCTATATGTGTTAAAAAGAAATCTTTTGGTATAGTAAGATTAAAGCCATTCAAATGCCGCAAGAGAAGTTTTCAAAAGAAATCTTTACCATCGTCAGAAACACGCAATGCGTTTAATATGTTTCGAAAATCGTTTTTCTCATTCAAATATTTTATTTAAAAACGTTAAAGCACTTAGCGTTTACGAACTCTATGTCTATAATATTTTATGTTTCGTTGTAAAAGTGAACGACCATTGCCCAATTTCAAAGATCTTTTTACTTGTAAAGCTATAAACAAATATGGTTTACGAAATAATAATTTATTAATTGAACCCTTTTGTCAAACAAAGTTTAATCAATTTTGCATAAACTATAGAGCACCGTATTTATGGAACAAAATTGTTGTTCCAAATTTTCTCCTCCTCATTCTCAGTTGCAGTCTGGTTAGGTATCCTCAGTTGCCAAGACTAATATATTTGTAATGCATTAATGAAGAGCGACGCCTTTAATTCAAACCAAGTAAATAAAATTTGAAAAGTTTAAAATTTTAAAACTTTTGTGAACGTGGAAACTATTTCTGATACAGCACATTGTTTTTTTGCGTTAATTTTCTGAATTTTTGAAACAAGTTATTAATCAAAATTGATATACAAATCAATTATTAGTTTTAAAACTATTAAATAATCAATCAACAAAACTTTTTCTTTTTGTTCACATCTCTCGGATAAAACCGTGCAAGTTCTCATGCTTTATTTTAAACAGAAGGATCATTATTATTCAACCGGACGAATGAAAACATATTGCCACTCTGCTCGTCTCAAATATTGAATCAATCTGCTGGATCAGATCAACTAAAACAACATTAAAAATATTCACTTTAAATTCTTTTGTTTGACTGTCATAGAAATGGTTTGTATTTGATGCCTCATAATGAAAGCGCTCTAGCTTACGCGTTCGTTTAGCAGCGAGTTCAGTTTCAAATCCAAACGGTCCATCAACAACTACAGCATCTTAAAAAAATTGCAGCCAAGAGCCCTTAATCCGTTTAGGATTTTCCAGCAGCTGTTGAATCAATCGTAGCTCGTCATCAGAGTTACGGCTTCATATTGTAGAAGACGACTAACGTCGTTAACAGTAGTAAGATAGGCGACTAACGTCGTTAACAGTAGTAAGATAGACGACTAACGTCGTTAACAGTAGTAAGATAGACGACTAACGTCGTTAACAGTAGTAAGATAGACGACTAACGTCGTTAACAGTAAGAGTTTTGTACCGAATCATAACTAGCAATACAAATTCAAAAGATGATAATAATTTTTTTAAGTGAGGATCTTCCATCAGGTAAGAATTGCACTAAAAAATACCTACAAAGATTTGACATTTTCAAAGAATACTTTGATTTCAATGGCTGATTCAACTGCGAACACACAAGCCAAATTCAAACTGTGAGCGCTTTAGGGAACATACAGAGCTTCTGAATAATTTTGCCTTATTAAGGCTTGAGCTCCTTTGTAAGCACTTAAAATATTGGATCCATTGTTGTGTGGTTTACCTGACCGCGATATTTTTGAATATCCATACCAAGCCTTAAAATCACATTAGTGATAAGCTAAGCTTAACAACTTTGTTCGTCTCAAATGTTTCAACACACAATTATCTTCTTTGATTTTCAAGTAATTAGTTTCTCTTTCATAGAGGAGAAAACGAGTAACAAAAGTTATCTGCTCAGTGTAAGATATATTGGGAGTACCATCGACTATGATTATGAAATAGATACCATCTTGAATATTTTTGACAGTTGCACTTTAGATAACACCATATTCTTTGATTAAATCATTTTGAGACGACGTAAAGAAAAAATGGGAACTTATTCTGGAGCCTTTTTGTTGATGGTGCTTTCCACGTGGGATGCAATGACGAGGTTGCGACAATCAATAAGCTCCACATCAGCTAGAAGGTTTCCATTTTCTTTTCCATTTACGTGTGTTTTTATACCTGCAAAAAAAGTTGTATATAATAAATTATAGTGATATTTACCAGTGGAGCTGGTAAGACGAATGTATGCCTCTTTACGACCATTGTAAAACGTTTAGTGCACTGGGCTTGATTGATGCGGCTTTACACGACTTATGAGTTTTCTCCGTTGATCTCTAGCTTTTCTGTTTCAACGAAGAAAAAGGCAACTAGCCGCTTTTGAAAACTGCTTTTGTGTTGGAGGTCTCTTTAAAATAAATACATCTTGACCTTTTTGACTCAAAACAACTGGTTACAAAGAAAGGTTAGCATTAATTATTACCAAGTTAGTTTAAACATTACATTCTCAAATGTTAAATTAAGTACCTCCTTCTAACTCTGATGACTCACTTTAAAATTCATATAGCTCAGCTTAAGGGAAATTGTTTAAGCCCCCCACTGATCCACAGTTCTTCAAATAACATACTGAATGAAACAAAGATGGGCAAACTCAAATATTTTTTTGTTTTTTAGGTGCCCCAAGAAGTCTTTGCGGTCTTGTCACAGAGCACCGCGGAAGTGCATTTAACCAGGAAGTTCACGCCTCCTTCCTTACCGTGACGCGAAATATATCTAAAGCTCGTTTCGAACCTGGATCACCTGCTCGAAAGCAAGCGCTCTAACCACTGCGCCACGGCCGTACATTTTATAACTAGCCGGATCCTGGTAGAAACAAGGGCGCTTATTTGTCTATAAATCCAATGCTATAATTTTCTCTTTGCCTCAACAGTCAAATACTATTTAAAAACATAGAGTTTTTATCGTGAAATAAACAACAAACGTCTCTTTCGCTTCAACTTCCGCATAGCTGAAGAAAATAAAGCGAACCCACTACCTAACAAAGTTGTCAGTGCTATCAGTGTCAACTGCTTCAAAGCAAAATTTGTCAGTTACCATTATAATTACCACAGCACATAATCTTCCGTACAATTGAGCATAAGCTAGCATTGCTAACTGTTCATGGGCTTTAACTTATTTATGAGCATTAAACTTATTTATGCATTAAAAAAATGGTTAATATGTTTGTTTGTTGTAACTTAATGTCACTTTAGATATAAAAGAAACCTTTTTTCTTTACGATTTTGGGCTGCCTGTTTCATCAATGAAGCAGTTAAAAAAAAATTGAAACAGAATATCTTGACAATGAAATGCAAAAAAAGATTATGTAAGATTATTTGTAAGATTATTTGTAAGATTATGAACTTTTTGTAATTGTTTGGTTCAGAAAATTTTTTGATTCAATTTACTTAATTTAATACATAGTAAATAATATCTCTTGAAAGAGTTTTTTTTTTTTAATTTAGACACGTTATTTGGGTCAGTGTGGTGGAACAACTGTTAAATCAACAAGAAATATAATGAAGCGGTAGGTGACAAATAAAATTGCAGTTGCTTGTAATTGAAAAGGAAAAGGGGGAAAATATGCTTTTAGAAATAGCAAGCTTTGCCAAATTATAAATAGTGCGCTTTTTTCGTGTTAAACCAGGAATCGGCAATGTTTGGTTCGCCAGCCACATTCAGCTTTTTTATCTAAACTGTGTTTGATAAAACTTTTATACTTAAATGATATTAAATACAATTGAATAAAAATTCGCCGATTCATTATCCTTTCGGCTTTTTGGTTAGATTTTTTTTTAATTATTTAAAGAAAAATGGATCTCTACTTGAAACAAGTTGCCGACCTCGTGTTAAATGATCATTATTTATTCTTACTGTAGATTTACTCTTACCGTTATTGAAACTTTTAGTATAAATATAAAATTTAAATTTTTTTTAAGATTAAATTTTTAGAAATGGGTGTGAAATGAAAATTTATTTGATTTTATTTAGATGCTGATTCGACGTAATCGGTTGTAACTCGGCGTAATCGGTCAACATGCCATGGTACGGATGCCGATGTAGCAATTGCCATTAAAGCATGGTTTTGCTTTGCAAAAGATTATGATAATATAATGAGAAGAGAAGCAGTGTTGTAAAATATTTATGTATTATAATTTCAATAATAAATAACTTTTTACGACTAACCCAAAAATTTATTAGAATTTTATTACCTTAAAACAAAGCGCCAACCAGTAAACCTCTTATGATACCAACGTTTGTTTGATAAGTATTAAATCATCCATGCCATCACACTAAATTATGCCAACGTTGAAAAAACGTTGTTGTTTGTAAACACCAACGTTGTTCCAACATTTACTTTTTCTAGCGTTGTTACTGAGACATGCTAACGCAACAATTTTTTTACAAATTAGTTAAAACTGTTGCACAATTGCATCGTTTTCTTGATAAGGAGGCATTTTAGCGCCTATAACCTTTTACTAACATTGCACTAATGTAAGACCAACTATTTAAAATGTCATTAAAATACGTCGCTAATTGTATCCAATTAGCTCGCTTTATTAGAAAAACATCGGCCCAACGTTGAAGCGACATTTAAAGTGTTGTTTTGACGTTTGCTCAACGTGTTTTCAACAAAGTGTTGTAGCTTGGTAGCACTTGTTGTAGCTTGGCTAACGTTGCGTCTACAAAATAATAACAAGTATCGGCCAACTTATTAACAAATACGTTGAGTATAAAAAATGTCAACATAATCTAAATGGATAACCTATAACCTATCATATGCTAACACAATACCAAACTTAATAATTTGTTACGCCAACATCGGCTCTATAATCTTACACCAACGGTGCGCCAATATAAGGTAATTTTAGTATAAAATGCATTTTGCCAATGTGCCGCCAACTGTAGCAATTTATTCGGGCTATAGTTGTGCCAACAATTTAAAACCAAAAATACGTCTACGTTTTGCCAACAACGCTGAATATATACAATGCCAATGTGGGGACGATGGGCAGCCGGTCATATGCCGACACTACGGCCAACCAAAGCGCTTCAATGGGCCAACAATCTTAAATACGTTGGGTCTACTAATTTTTTGTATGTTGGGGATCCACTAGCCACGGCACTGGGGAAATAATTTTTCATTTAGTTAAGTTTTCTCATGTTTTTGTATTCTTATAGCACTAACTCCTACTTCTTTTAGTTTTATATGCCTGTATTATTTATAAGTTACATTACATTAAAGTTAAATGAGATAAGAAATTTATATGAAAAACAAAAATTGAACTAGATAAAAATTAGAACTAAAATTATTTACTGAAATGAATAAAAACTAAAAGTTAAAACTAGAAGTTAAAACTAAAACTAGAATTATTTTCCATAAGAAAATATATCGCTGCTGTTGAACTGCCAAACTCAATAAAAGAAGATTGATACTTAAAACCATCATGAGTACTGGACTCCAAGTACTCCAAATTGGTTAGTGATCTATTTAGTGAAATAAGCGTTGATTAAAATATAATCAAAAGAGTTCATTATTTCAAAACCAATATTGATTCATTAAGTAGACCTATTTACGTAGAATTAACCAACAAAGCAAACAGAGTAGAAATTTTGAAAGCTGATAGAGGGCTTAGGGCATTAAAAAAGTATCTGGATCAAATTGAGATTAAAAAGAAACAAACAAAAGAACTTGTTTTTGACAGGAACGAACGCAACAGAAAACTTGCTAAAGAAGGAACTATCAACAAGTCTTTCGATATTACATTCGTAGAAGTAGAATCTGAAAATCTGCATCAAGTAAATTGCCAATAAAATACAGTCACCTGTACTTCTGGGATACAATTTTAACGTTTTTAAACAACAAGTTCGATGAGTTATTGATATTGAAATTAAGAAACAATAACGTGTAATGATATGTAAGACATGTTGAAATGAATTATCAACAGCAAATGTTCTGTTTTTTTTTTGTACCGACAAGTTAGACGGATTCATAGAGAAAGTGGAGCATGCATTTATATATTTGAAAGTGTTAATTCTTTTTAACTTGAATAATAGTAATTTACAAACTAAAACCATATTAATTGAATATGGTGCTCAGTTTGTACAGGTTCTGAAATATGAAGATGGTGCTCGGTTTGTACAGAAATAACTTTTTTGCGGGTGTATCTATATAATAGAAGATTGAAAAGTAAGAAAAATAAAAAGCAAATTGTAGATTCAATAAAACACTCCTATAAGCAGTCGATATTCAGGTTTACTTATGGTGACTTTACCTACTTAAAAATCAAATGGAGTGACAAATGCTTTGACTCTACTTCAGAACTGAATATTGCTAAAAATAGATTTTTAGATTCCCTGAATTATTGTTTTTAAACAAAAAATAAAAATCAACCGAGATATCAAATATAAATAAAAGAAATAAAAATTTCTATAAAAAAAATAAGTACAAAACCGTTATGTTTTTTTCATACGAACTATACATGGAACAAAACGGTAATTACCCATTTTAAAACACGAAACCTAATGTTATGTTTTTTAAAAATATCATGGTGTATTTTTTTTACTGTGTAGCATGATATCTGTTCAGTGCTTTTGGTTTAAGTTATGGTACCATGAAGTTTATTTTATTAAATTAGGGACGGAGTTTTATGTGAGCTGTGTATTTTATGATTTATAATTATACGTCTTGTAGTTGAGTACACTTTGAGCGGGTTTTAGTTAAGTTTGAAACTGTTTCTAAGTTACACCTAACTGTGTTAATTACAATCCTCTTCAATTTTTTATAACGACACCAGGTTTCTATGAGATGAATAAATAGAAAACTAATTTTGACACAAAAAATTGTTTAAATTAAAAAAAAAAAAGTAATACTTGTGATTAAAAATTAGAATGGAGAGTGCACAGAGACCTTGGTTGTCAAAATATCCGACCTATAATAAAAATTATTATCAATCTGATGGTTATTATTGCTATAAAAATTATATTTGGGTCTGAACCATTTTCTAAAAATATATTTTTAGTTATTAGGAAAGTTCTAGACTTTAAATCATGAGAAACAGTTTCTTCATCCATCGTAAATAAAATATAAATATATAAATAAAGTAAAAAAAGAAAATTTGTAAACAAAATATTATGACTATTTATTTCTTCTTTTTTTTTTTAATTGAGAACAATAAATTTTTCATAAAAGACTACATAGTAAATATCGTAGATTCTGTGATTTTTCATTTCTTCAAACAATTTTTTTCTTTATTATTGAAGCTTCAAGCGAGTATACTTAATTAATATACAGCCCTATAAGGAACTGGGTTGCATATTAATTAAGTATACTCGCATGAAGCTTAAATAATAAAGAAAGAAATTGTTTGAAGAAATGAAAAGTAATCTACGATATGTACTATGTAGTCTTTTATGACAAACTTATTGTTCTCGATTAAAAAAAAAAAAAAATATTTTTTTTTCCTTTCCTTTGTTTTTCCCGATTTTCTTGTTCCCAGTTTCTTTCAATATCTTGCATTTTTAAGAACTTGAACTTTATATTTGTAGCTTGATAGTTTCATTAAAAATTATCAAATTTTTTGGCTCAGTGAGTCTTAAGTCTCAGTAAGCTCGTTCTATAACAACTCAGAGCTCGTTGTATAACAACTCCTTTTAGGTTTCAAAACATTTAAATCTTAAATCGCCTTTACGGTGATGAAAAAGAAATAAAACGTAAAATATATATTTTAGAAAAGTAGTTTGTAACCTTTGAAAGTTGTAATCCAATCGGGTTACTGTCTTAAAAGTTGACTGAATGAGTTTTAAACAACTGTTCAAACTATCAAGTAGTAATCACCAGGGTTGTTTCTTAAATTACTTAAAAAGTGAATCTTGAAATTAAAGGTTCGCAAAGCTAAAATTCTGCCAACTAAATTCTGTTAAATACCAACTTACCGACTATAATCCTAAAAAAAACGACTATATCTTCGTTAGAGAAGGGGGTATCACAACAAAAACCCCTACCCATCCCATACACACACACACATACACACACACACACACACACAGAGTACCCCCGTAAATTTTCCCTGGGTGTTTACAACAAAAATCACACTTAGGTAAAGAATTCTTGTTTTTTATACCATGGCCGTAGACAACTTATACAATCTGGGGGAAGGGGGGTGGTCTCTTAACAATGAAGCTCTTCAGTTTTAATATATAAATACCATTCCGCTTAAACTTATTAAGCCGATTGGTATTTTTAATTTACTGAAAACCATCCAGTTTAAACTTATTAAGCGGCATGGTATTTTTAATTTACTAATTACCATCCCGCTACTTTATATATATATATATATATATATATATATATATATATATATATATATATATATATATATATATATATATATATATATATATATATATATATATATATATATATATATATATATATATATATATATATATATATATATATATATATATATATATATATATATATACATATATATATATATATATATATATATATATATATATATATATATATATATATATATATATATATATATATATATATATATATATATATATATATATATATATATATTTAAAAAAGTTCCTGGTAACAAAAAAAACCATTCAAACTAAGATGAGTTAGATAAATTAGATAAATTTTAACAAGTATTTTTATTTTTTCTCTAACACAGAAAAAATTCAAATACGTTTGTGGCTGGTATCAGAAGGATATGTTTTATCAACTTCCTGAAATCTGATAATGATTCCTTTTTAACTTCACTTGCTTTTCTGTAAAACAAAAAAATTATGTGTTATATTAGCATACAAATACGCATTGTTGTGATATTTTTGAGATATGCTGCTGTCGTAATTACTAAATAAATAACAATTAGGTTTAAAGGAAATCCATTCATATCTTACCTGAAAAAATTAAGGACTTTTTGTGAAGTGTCTAATGGTTCAGTTGTGGATTCGTGCATAACTTGTAGCTGTGCATGCAAGCTTAAAGTATTCAAATCTGTATCATAGAAAGCAAGAACTTCTTTATTTATTCGATGATGAAACATTTATAAGTACTGATTCTATCTTTTGAAGCATTAAATATCCTTGTTGTTCAAATCTAAATTGAATACTGCCTATTGTCATTTCTCTAGCTTTTAAATTTATCTTCTTGAAAAAGTCA